AATTGTAAAAGAAAAGAAATTAAAAGAAACATTTAAAACCTTGAGACAGTTGTGTTAGCCAATATTTTACATCTATAAGTTTAGGACTCTTTATCTTTCAAAATTAAACAGATTCAGATAAAAGGTGCTGTTAATATTGCTGATTAACAAAGCAAAATTAAAGAATTAGTTTACTTTTCTGACAGGTAAGTCCTATTGAGTAATTTTGAGCTCTAAAGAATATAAAAATTCATTTAACTATTGTATAATTTTATTTCTAAAAACAAAACAAAAAATTCATCACCACCAAGTTAGTTCTGAGTCATAGTGAACCAAGGGACACGGTATAACTGCCCTGTGGGTTTGTGAGGCTGTAAATCTTTACAGGAGCAGAAAGCTGCATCTTTTTCCTCAGGAGCAACCGATGGATTTGAATTGCTGACCCTGTAGTTATTAACCCAACAGATAACCACTGTGTCATCAGGGGTCATTAATTATTTATGAAGGAAGACCTAGTTTCACTAAATTTGAAAATAAAATATAGGTTTCAGTCATGAATAATTAATACCACCACATGATAAATGCATCATAGTTATATTGGTTGGCTGAGTGGTGAAAGCATGGAGATGACTATGAAGTGGGAACAATCTCAGAGTACATGGAGTGAGGATTGTGACAATTGCTTTCAGATATTGCAGCATTAAAACCTTGAGTTTTGCCCCATTCTTTTCCCATTAGCAGCCTTTCTTGGATGGTCTTTGCATTATCAGGAAGTTAAATAGATTACCTCCAAAGGGGTCTTTCTGTATATGTGTATGTATATAAATATGTGTATATATATGTATGTATGTGTGTATATACATATCTATGTATCTATATGAGGGGTGATAGCTTTTAATTATTAAATGAGAAAATGACAGGGAAGAAAGTTAATTGCTAATCATTTTCAGACACAGATTTCAAAGTGTATGGATTTATTTCAGGACTTACTATTAACCATAAGAATGACACATTTTGGGGTAAGAAATAATTATTGTTCAGGAAATTCTAGGTTAAGATAAAAAGTGAAATAATTAAAACCTTTTAAGATAAAGAGTAGTCAAAATATTGTTTTATGTATCTACTATATACATTTTTGTATAATTTAAAAAAGGAAAACTCAAAAGTATCGGTTATATCATCCTTTTTTTGCAAATCTATTGTTAATGTAAAATTCTTTGTAATCGAATCCCCAGGAGAACTGTGTTATTTATTATAAATAACATAGGCATGCTATGAATTAACCAAGTTATGCTCAGCTCAACAGAGTTAGACTCAGAAATGGTTTGGAGGTGATTGAATGGTAAGCTGTAAGGATGAGTGTTTTAGATGAAAAATTATGATGCAATGTAATACAAATATATTGAAATATTTTAGGAAACAGATCAAAATATGAGGTGATTTACTTAATTTTTTACTGTTTTTAGCAGGATACATAAGATTCCTTCAGTGCCAAATGACAATTATGGAGTAACATAAAATAATATATTAGAAGAAATTATATATAAAATATGTATATTTTAGTTATTTTTTACATAGAAGTAACTATAAATCGTTAATTTAGTTTTAAGTTCTAAAAAGTATGTTATTGAATATTCTTTTCCTGTAGAAATATTTCAGAAGGGAGATAAGTTCAGAGATTAACTGTGTTTAACACCAACTCTGAATAATTAATTACAGACATAATTACCTCCTTACAATTTTGTTTAGCCTCAGAGAAAGACAGTCAAACTCCTATGTATCCCTGCTTCAATTAAAATTTTGTTTGAATTGAAACTATTGGAAACTATTCAGGTATATGTGACCGAAGTTCCAGGGATCTACTTTCTGTTGAAAGAATATAGGATAAGTTAAATTTGAATGGAGGAATGATTATATAATAGTGTGTGGTAGTATCACATTATTTTCAACTCTGTATCCTGACTCTTAAACCAAAATTATTTTATGTACTTTTTTCTCCTAAAATGATAGTGTTGACAAAATACACTGGCAGAAAAATCAATCATTTGTTTTAGTTAAAAGTTAGCTTTAGTCATTTTTAAAGAAGAGAGCATATAAATACATGAATAAATAAAATAGTTTGCACTTTTGTCTAGATGGTCAAAATGCAGTCAATGATATCTTTATTTAAAGATAGAACCATTATGCCTGGTAAAATATAAACTGGACTATGACTTCTTCAATCCAGAAGTAATGGTCTATTCAGACTTTTTTGGTCAATATAAGTAAATGATGCCCATTGCTATCGAATTGCTATCGAGTAGATTCTGACTCCTAGCTATCTGCTTTGACAGGGCAGAACTGGCCCACGGAGTTCCAAGGTTGTACTCATCAGAGGATCAAACTGCAACATACTTCTCTCATGCAGTGGCTGGTGGGTTAGCAGCCAGCCTTTAATCACTGCACCATCAAGGAGCCTTATAGTCAATGACAGGCATGCAATACTAAGTAGAAAGACAGAAGTATTAAGAAATAGAATGTGTCCAAGAAACTACATGAAATACAGTAATGCAATTTCATTACATTTGCATCTCTCAACAAATAACTTGTGCAGAAAAACAATTTTATATCTGTATGTTTACACAAGATTTAAGGACTCTCAGGAATGGAAAGAGCTGCTTCCATCCTAAATACTTTTATGTTATACATACACCCACACGTACACAAACCAAGCTCAATTCCACGGAGTCAATTCTGACTCATAGCCATCAGATAGGACAGAGTAGAACTGCGCTTTTGGGTTTCTGAGACTGTAACTCTTTACGCCAGTAGACAGCCTCATGTTTGCCCTGACATCTACAGCCCTGGGGAAATAATCTAAAAGGCACAATGGCTAATCAGCACCCAGTGAGCTTCGGAGAGTGTGGGGTGGGGAAATCTGGATACAAAGGAAAACTTGGTTTTTTTCACAACACACAAAGAATTCACTGGCTCCTTAACAGAGGGTCTTAAAACAGGAGAATTGAGAAAGAGTGCATATGATCCCTAACTCAATTGTAAACCAAGATAAAACATCCCTAGGGATAATATAGGAATAGTTTCCCCCTTTTAGTAAACTTTCATTCTGTGAAATAGCAGAATTGAGGGCAATTAATGTATATGATACTCATGGAAATTGAAGGCACAGTTATGTTTTAGACTCATTGATTTAAGATTTAGATTCCTTAGATTATTTGTAAACCATCTGTTTACAATCTGCTATTAAAAAAAACAAAACATTTGGGCACCCATGAAGGTTTTAGATCAAGAGAATAGTTTCTGAAAGGTCAAAACAATCAACTTCAAAATGTGTGTAATTCTTTCAATAAATATTATAAAAATAAGTATGCTATTTAAAGAATTATGAACATGTAATTTTAATGGAATAAAATATAATTAAAGTTAATTATGAAATAAAATATGATGTATTATAAATAAATAAATATTAAAAACAAAAGCATATTTTAATACATATATTACACTATTACATTACTTTTTAAAGATGTATTTATTGACCTATGTGGCAAATAAAATAGATTTTTCATTGAAGTTCTTGCATTGTTGTCTAAAGCAATATTTAATTGAGGATAATATTTAATCCTAAAACTCCTATAAATAATGTGGTTCTATTATAAATCCATTACCATGTTGTTGGCTCCAAATCTTATCACAAATTGCCTTGTGCTTACGGTGTGGTGAGTACTGGCGGCCACTTGAGTGGGAAGTTGCTATGGGCTGTGACAATTTCTACTGCAGCATGTGAGGGATCATTCAACCATCTAAAATCCTTGTCAGAAGTGTTATTGCCCAGACATGAAGTGCAGACCTATTAGTTAGCAGCTCATTGCTTTTACCACACTGTGCGATCAGGGTTTCTTCATTTATAGAAAAGTTCATTATATTGTTCTTCAAAAAACATTTGATCTATATCTATCCATCGATAGATTGATATATTACTTGAATATGTAATTTCCACACAATTAAAAAATTCACAATTAGGAAAATCAAGGAAAGTTAAATACCATGCTAAATTACTTTCCTCAGAAATAAAACAGAAAGTAGTTATGCTAGGAAAAAAAGATGTAATTGCAGTATCAAAGAAAATGGTGAAGTGATTATATAATATTAAAAAAGCTTAATAAATTGTTTAGAATATTATCGTTCTAAATATCTACTCTGAGGTTAGGGTTAATGCAATATTTATTTAACATTATGTCTCTTGTAACAAGAGTTGTACACTAAAATCATTGCATGAGTTTTTAAATGTACCCAAACTCCCCACAAAACAAAAAACTCCTTGAGTTTAGAAGGCTGGAATATTTCAGAGGATTCCCTAAGGCAAATTCTCGTCTTTGGCAGACTTATATTCAATCATTGAATACTTATAGGATTGGTTTCTAAATTTAACCATCTATGGACCAATATTTTCTACCCTAGATGAACTTCTTAAACATTTAGCTATTAATACAGACATGTATCTTTATGAGTTTTAGATTTTATTTTACAATTTCAAAGGATGTTGTTATCAAAACCAAAATGATTTATCTGATATAAAGAATCTGACCATATTTTGACATTAAGAATAAACGAATAAGATATATAGACTTCACAAAGTATATTATTGTCTTCAAAATTTTTATTTTCTATAGAATATAACTGTTTTTAAGCTAATTTTATTAAAGTATATGGTTATTTTAATAGAGATTATTATAAGACATATGATATTTCTCTTTAATATATACTCAAGAGGATCTTGATACATGAAATAGCACTATTAATTAGATGAAGGATAGTATCCAGGTATCCCTTTACTGACTAAGGAAGCCAAGTGGAGTCTGTAGAAAAAGAAAGAGTACTTCTTAGCTAAAGTGGGTAGAAGTGGTTTGGCTTTAAAATGGGATGGGGCTGTATTTCCCCACCACACGCTGCCCGGGTGCAGATAAGCTGTGTGCTGTTGTCCTGGAGACCACGTTCTGTATTTAATGTTAAGAAATGGAATTTACCGTGTCTGAGAAACGGTAAAACTTCTCCAATGCAAAAGCTTCTGTCTGTGGGAAGGTAAAGTTGACCAAGAGAGATTGAGAAACTAGAGAATCAAGTCATATATGATTAAAATAGAATTGTACAATTGGTTTCAATTACATACAACTTTTAATATACATATGTATCAATTAATATTTTATATATGCAAAGTATCCATTCACAAATAAGATTTGAACATTTCTAAAAACTTGATTTTTCTGCACTATTTTCTTCATGAATATTTAAGCTATTGGTTAAAAATCATAAGATATTTCTATTTTTGCATTTCAACATTTTACCAGATTCCCAATCACTAATTGATTTAATCTTGCCAACTCTAAGCTAAAGAGTAAAGAATATAAATGCTTTTACTTGAATATTCTTACATATAATAAAAAGATAAATAAACGCTTTGGTCAGGTTGATTTTTTTTTAAGGAAGAACTGAATGATATAATGTGTAATTTTTTCCATAAGATGCTGTGACTCTGGGGCATCTTGGGAGTATAGAATATTTTCGATCTCTCAGAATTTTGCCTTTTAGACACATCATAATCTTTTCTATTGTTTGTAACACAAAGCTGACATAGTCTAAATTGTATAAAAAAGAGGAAAGAAGCAAAAAGAAATGACAAGTAAAAGGAAAATGAAAAACAAAATGATAGGGAAAATGAGTGTTGTTTTCCTTCTTATTAATGCTATTAGATGGGAAAATAGCGCTTATCCATCACTAATTGAAAATAGACAAGGACTTCGTTCCTGTGTGAGGGCACCTTGTGTTGCTAAAGTGTTTCTTCAGTGCCAGCTATCATGAGTGACAAGTGGAGTCTGGGGGCAGCAGAAAGGAGATGCGGGAAGAGAGAGAAAAGTGATGTAGAAGGATTATAAAAGTGTGAGTAGGCTGGGCAGTCAGGGTAAAAGGAAGAGATGAACAAAGTTAACCTTTCCATAACAATATAGTTCAATGTGCAAATGCTTTGCTTTTGTTTTTATGAACGTTTAACCACATGTAAGCCCTAGTATTACTTTCTGTCCCTCGTATTTGCCCAGCAGTCTCCAATGCTTCTGTGTTCCTTCTGAGCTAACGGGAGTTCAGGTGTTACTGGGGCAGTGCTGATTCTGAGGGAGCTAAGCAGGCTTGATGGAATAAGTTATTCCTTTAGGGTCCATTTCATACTGAACAAACTCAAGTATTGAGAGATTGCGGGTTATTGCTTCTGAAAAATGAATGGATCTGTGTATTCAAACACTTATGAAACCTTGAAAAGTTCAAAAACTGAAAAACACCCATTAAAGTGCACATTATATGCATAACTAATACTTTCAAGATTTGAGTTACATTTTGACTTATTATATAAGTATCCTGGATCTGGGCCACATTTTCTCCTGTTACATATGACTAAAATATGTCTCTACTGCTTTAAGAGTCATTTGTATTTAAAATGGCAGTCGGTACACTCATATTTAGAGTACACATGCCTACTGCCAAAGCCATCCGTGAGGAACACGCCACGCCGTCCCCGGACAGCTCCTCTCTGCCCACTCAGATCCAGGTGGGAGCTTGCTCCCATGAGCTATTCTGGTATCTGGATGCTATTGCTACAGAAATGTACTTTTGATTTCAGCATTTATCTTTTATCAGGTGATAGCTAAGCAATGAATGGTATCAAAAGAAATGTCTTTTGAGAATGTAAATATTTGCCAAAAAAGGTTATGATACGATGAGCTTATCATAACCATATTAATAAATATTATTTGATAGAAATGAAGAAATTAGCTCAATAAAGGAATAATATAAAAATAATATCTGATGGCTGACATTGGAGACATTGTTTATACTGCAAGTAAGAAATGATATATTTTGTATGTTGAAATGAAAGTGGTGTTCCAGCAAATACATTGGGAAGAAATGGACAACTTTCTCATGTCATCAGATTTATTGTATAAAGTATATCAAAGAGTCACCATGTTGTCACTGGGCCTATTTTTGACATAATTTTTTTCAAAATTTGAGAAAACCAAAGCAACACCTGGTATCTATTGCCTTTCTGTGAATCTCTATTACATATAATAAATTCTCCTTTCAATGCAAATAGATTTCTAACAACCCAATACCTTTAATTGTTACCTTATTCTTTCTCTTTCGTCTAAATCTCAGAAGTTCTTTATGCTGTCTGGAAACAAAATTTACAGCTGCGTACTCCAGAAGCGCAGAAAACACAAAGAGGAGGCAGACCGCCATCCATATGTCAATCGCCTTGACATAGGAAACCTAGGCAGGAGAGAGAGAGGAAGCAGAAGGAGCTGTCGTATGACTTTCACTGAGAATAGTAGTAAATATGTTTCTGATTCTGAATTAGATCACTTACATATGAGCTTGAAAAATGATGGCCCATTGTTTACTTAATAAGAATTCTTCAGACATGAATCTTTCAATATTTGATATATTACTAATATTTTGGCATTTGTATATACCACTACATTTTTATTGGTATATAATTCACATAGCATGCAATTGAATATATAAATCATATTAAGAAGAGTTGTGTAATCATCAGCACAATCAATTTTTAGAATGTTTTCTTCTTTCTTGTAGCTATTGTTGTTACCCCCTATTTCTCCCAACCTTCTAAACCATGTCCTTAGCTAATTATTTTCCCCCAAGTTCCTCTACCCAGGTAATTAGTGATCCAATTATTGACTGTATAGGTTTGTCTATCCTCGATTTCATAAAAAACGAACAAACGAAAAAACCCATAAAAACACAATCAAGAAATAAAACCAAAAAAATATAACAGAAAAATTTCAATAAGGGTAGTGGGGAGATGAGCCACTTAGGGTACAGTATAGCAATAATGAAACCCACAACCCACAACCTCTAGTTCTTAAACGCTTCCTCCTCCCAACTACCAGGACCCCAATTCTGCCTTGCAAACCTGGTTAGACCAGATGATGCACAGCGGTACAGATGGGAATTGGAAACGCAGGTAATCTAGAACAGATGAACCTCTCAGCACCAGGGGTGACAGTGGCGAAACCAGGAGGGATGAGGGGGTTTAGAAAGGGGGAAATGATCAAAGGGAGCTACATATAACCTCCTCTCTGGGGGACGGGCAGCAGAGGGGTGGGTGAAGGGAAACGCCGGGCAGTGTAATATAAGATACAATAATAATTTATAAATTATCAAGGGTACATGGGGGAGAGGGGAGGAGGAAGGGAGGGGGAGGGGAAAAAAGGAAAATGAGCTGATTCCGGGAACCCAAGAGGAAAACGAATTTTGGGAATAATGAGGGCAACAAATGTATAGATGTGCTTTACACAATTGATCTATGTATTGTGATGAATTGTATGAGCCTCAACAAATTGATTTTTTTTTAAAAAGCTAAAAAAAAAAAGAACTCAGAAAATATTAAAAATCTGGAACTGATTTTGAATGGATCTAGGGAAGATCGAAGGTTGAGGTGCTACATTTTAACCTAACTGCATCCGACTTTACAATGCTTTCTGATAGGCTATTCACACTCCTGGACTGTGGTCACAGGCTTAACCCTCACAGGCGCCAAGCAAATGGGTTTGGGGATCTTCTGCAATCTGAGGGTTTGGAATTTAAACTCTGGGACTATTCCCTACTCCAGATTTAGATTTTGTTATTTAAATTCATTGGATCACATATGCTAGTGTACTTCTTCCAGAAGGATTTAAAGACTCAATTAGATGGCTGTTTATTTTGAGAGAATCCTTTAAGATCCCACATTCTGTATTCCTGATAGCAGGGCACCATCTGATTTCTTCACCACACATTGCTATAGCACTTAGTAATCTCTTCAGAAGGACAAACACTGAGGAAAGACTGTCATAATTATTCTTTGATTAGGGCTGTGATTAAGTGGGGTCCCAAAGTCCTTTCGCATACCTGTGGTTTATATATGTCCCTGGTTCATTTTAGAGACAACATTATCATTTTACTAGAGAACATTATACATCATCCCTCTGGGGCACATGGTAATTCTTTTGATAGTATCATTTACTTAGTTAATGGTATAGAATTTAAAACACTTGTTGAGAAAAGGAAATGATACACTTATAGGCCAGCTTTTTAGACCACAATATGTGAATTCTTCACTTGTATTGATTAAAAACTTACGTCACTGAAGACTATTGACACAAAGAGTGAGGGCTGGGGCAGGGGCAAACCTTTCAATAACACTCATTCACAAAGACAGAACCATACCTGCTAGACTAGAACGCTTCACAAGAAAGCGACGACAGCATGCAAATAGTGAATATGTGGTCCTCGCAGGCCACTCTACATTGGGCACCCTCAAAGGAAGAGGTAGGAACCAAAGTCAGTGACCACCAATGCCACCACCTTGAGTAGCTGTCACTGAATTCTTGTCACACAGCCCTAGGTCCAAGGGGGTATGCCAATTCCTTCAATCTGCTACAAGTGAGTTTAAGGTAAAGTCTAGTTCACATAGCGGGGTCTCCAAACTGGATCCTCTGGTATATCCTGTGAAGGGTATTGTGCACCACAACAGGGCAAGGTCCCAGCTGTGTATAGCAAATGGTCTGGGTCACTGAGGGCTGGATAGAAACGAGGTCAAAGTGTTCAGTTAGGAACATGGTTCTGGGCATATTCTCCCTGTGAGGTCTGCTGGTGTTTCTAGTTTGGTGCCATTGAGTCAGCTCTAAGGCAGCATAGCCCTGTCCTGTGCCATTCTCATAAGTTTGATTGTGTTTGTGTACGTTGTTGAAGCCACGATGCTAAGCCAGCTCCTTGATGTTTTTCCTCATTTTATTTTTTGTTGACAGTCTTCTTTATTGAACATCATGTCCTTCTCCAGAGACTGATCTTTCTGATACTATGTCCAAACTTTATGCGACGAAGTCTCACCATCCTTGCTTCTAAAGCGTATTCTGGCTAAACTTCTTCAAAGCGGGAACAGTAAAGAAAGTAAGAGGAAACCTATCTCACTTTTCCCAAATGACCCTCCGGGTCTTAGTGAAAACTTTGCTCAAGTCTCGTGTAGAAGTCCTCCTCTTTGAATCCATAGCTCTGAGGGAACCAGTGATTTCTACCTTGATCTCTCCCACAATAGTGCTCTCTCTCTGTCTCTCTGTCTCTGTCTCCATATCTCTCTCTATATGTGTATATATACACACACACATTCACATACAGACATATACAGATATATTCTTGTTAGTATTGAATTCATTGACAAAGAAATGCAAGTGTAAAGATGAAAATACAGGCCGAAGAGTAAATAAATAATTCACTTGGAGTTTCACTTCGTTGAGTTAATACTGTGGTAAAAACAAAATGAATCACCCAAACCATATCTTGACTTATCCAGCAAGAGCAGCGAAAGTATGTATTAGCAGTCTTCCTTATTTTCACCTGCATCTTAAATGTGACTTCTGCCCATCAGAATGACCTCTCCTGGGGAAAGAACTGTACACATTATTTTATTCCAGCATTGTACTCTTTCCACCTATCTATAAATCACCCATTTCAATTCCAAAAATAAGCCAACAAATTCCGAAGGCCCCCCAAAAAAAAAGGGGCCCGGCAAAAACACAGATTTCGAAGAAACTATCTGAAGAGGCATCTTTCCTCAACCAGAAAAAAAACGATGCATAAAGTACATGTGCACTCTTTGACCATCGGAATCTATAAGGAGTGTACCAAAGAGAGTAAATCAACACTGTAATTTGTAAATAACCCCAATGAGTTTTTCAGTCACAGCAGGCATATGTAAACCTCATTTGTGCCTTCTAGGGTTTGGCTCATTTCGAATACTAACTTTTTCTTAGAAAGGCCTTTTGTGCTTAGCCTCTCTTCTGATCCCCTTCACCAATTTCATTTATTTTCCCCTTCATTCCAGCTGAATCTCCAAGTTCAGAAAACTCAGAATGTGGGATGTTTGGAACTCTAGGGCAGCTCACTTTAGAATAAAATAATAATTTGTATCCCCAAATACTCAATCTTCGTCTCCACTCGCAAAGATTCAGAATTTCCCCCTTCTTTGCATCTTCCAGGAGACTTGGTGGCTTTCGGGTTATACGCTGGGCTGCGATCTACATGGAAACCAGCAGCTCCTCCTCCAGAGAAGGAAGAGGAGTTCAATTCTCCTAAACAGTTACAGCCGGGACCTCGCAGGGGCAGCGCTCCTCTGTCCTACACAATCACTGTGAGTTTTCATTAACTCCACGGCAGGAAGACTTTTTTGTTTGCATCACTTACTGTCCTGGGTTCTTTAAGATATTCTCATCCAATCCTGCCAACTCCAATGACTGCTTTCTCAAAAACGCTTCCCGCTCTGTACCTGAATGCCAGTTCTATTTGAAACAACTCTTTTCAGCACTCTTTTCTTGAATAAAAAGGGGAAAAAATAAAGACCTGAAATTCACTGATCTAATGCACTGGTCAGAAAGATCTTTTCCCATAAACTACGGATAAACCACTTGAACATGGTTTCAAGCACTCTGCCCCAATCTATTGTCCTTTCGTGAGAGGCTGTTTCTTCTCTTTGTCAGTTCCTTAGGGACATGCAGAGTGAATTTTTCTATTCTTACCCTGAAATCTCCCTGATTAATTCTATCTATTCTCATAGTTTGAGCTTCCTTCTGAGTTCATGACCCCACCGCTCTATTTCCATTATTAGATTACTTCTAAGTGTGATTCTTATTTCACACTAACTCTTGGTTGTCTCAGGAATTTAAAATTGAACATGACTTAAGAAAGCTAAAGAGCCTTGGCGACATTGTGCTTTGGTTACTCTTTTGAGATCGAAGGAAAAGCTGCGATAACCCGTCCTGGAGGCCAAGAGAAAAAAGCCTGTCTCCAAAGGCAAACAGCTATTTTCAAATGGCCTTGCAGTGGTTTCCGGGACAAAGATCTTGCTAACTTGTGCTGGAATGAGATCAATTAACCCATATGCAACTTTAATTAATGTTATTAAGCCTTTTTAAGCTGGTGGTCATGGGGTGGTTCCAACCTAATTCTCCCAAGACCCTGAATGCTCAAAGTGGGAGGTTTTTATACTATGGAATAAACAAGGTATACGGGGGCAGGGGGGCGTTACTTTGTATGGAGAAAAAGGGAACTTGGAGCAAGAAGTTACACACATTTATCAGCAATTTCAAAAATAAATGGCAATAGTTTAGCAGTTACAGAAAACAGTAGTTACAAGAGGAATTACAGGATTTGCAAATTGACAATCCTTGGGTCAGTACAAAATGGTTACACTCAGTAATTTATAATTACTGACC